GGGGGGGGGGGGGGGGGGGGGGGGGGTATTTGGTTCCCAAGTTTATATATGGCTGCATCTGCCCCTCCTGTGGTCACAATGACTGCGTTTCGGGGGCTCAGCAACGGCCCACTTTTAAGGCTGTTTGCAGTGTTGTGTGACCGTGTTTGGGTATATTTTGCTATTTTGGGGGGGGGGGGGGGGGGGGGGGGGGTTTTTTAAAAGGGAGGGCACGGTTTTCCGGTGTAAAAGGGGGGGGGGTGGTTTGGCCCCCCCCTTCTGCCCCGTGTCCCCCCCCCCTCCCCCAACCCAACTTTTCAGCTGGTAGAAGTCAAGGGCCCTGGCGACCGCCTCTCGCACAAGCAGACGGTGTGGCTGGACGAACTGCGGAAGTTGGGTGCGTCGGTCGAAGTTTGTCACGTGGAGGCCGTGGGGTCTAAAAGTCAGCGCCTGGGCTGAAGGGGGGGGGGGGGGTAAGGGGTGTTTCTGGGATCCAGTGCAATAAAAACCTTCCGATAACAGCGATGGGATTTTCCTTCAGTGCCTCGTTTCGAATCTGCTTTGGCTTTGCTTCGAATTTTCCATCTTGTGTGCTTGCACCAAAGACACATTTCAGGCTGCTGCGTTTCATAACCACCACTGGGGGGATGGGGGGGGGGGGAATTGGGCCCAGTCATATGGCGACCTGCTTAATGACTAATTCCAGACTCAATTATGGTCGTAAGTCAAGGACTAACTTTCATGCTCCTTTGCTCCGCACCTTCTTTTCTTCAAATCCGAAAAGCAACACAAAAAGAGCCCGAGACGAGGAGGAAGAGGGCAGGTTGCTTTTTATTAAGTCTCATCTATTTTGCAATTTCATACATCATTATGGCAGGTGGAAGGAAACCGTTCTCCTTTGTCTGTTCTGCTGTGCTTAGGCAGATCCTTGCTTGGGAACACCAAAACTTTAGATTGGGGTGTCCAGTTTTAAGACTCAGTGGACTTCAACTCCCAGAATTCCCCAGGCAGCCATTTCCCTCATGCTGGCTGGGGAATTCTGGGAGTTGGTCTATTAGTCTTAAAAGTTGGCAAGGATGCACACCTCTCGTCTCTTCCAAAAGCATAAAAATGGGATTTCTTCTCTCCAGTCCCATTTTCATAGAGTCAGAGAATTCCACTTTCCTGATGGCTTGGTTCACTTTTCCTTAAAAAAAAAAAAGTCAAGCGTATTTGACTTTTAAAATACTTTTTTTTTTAAAAGAGCCAGAATTTAACAAGAAGGACATGCAAAAAGCACCAGAATTGAAAGGACGGACCTTCTGCCAGGGTGAAACACATCTTTAGGATTGCTGATATGCCTAAGAAAATTATACACCCATGGTAAAAACACACCCACAGTCACAAATCTACTTGACAGCATCAAAAGTGATGTGGTTTTTTTTTAATTATTTTTACACAGTTTAATTACAGCAACCACCTCCTTCAGCTCAAGCAGCCCCCTTGCTATTAAACAAATGTACAAAAATAACCATCTCTTCTTTTGCACAGTTACAAAAACTTCACTGTGGAAAGTACCTGCTTTTGAAAAAAAAAGTTAAGATATGGGGGCTGCTCATTGGTGTTGGGGGAGGAATTCCCCCCCACCCCTACTTTTAAGTTCACAAACGCCATCGAGTTGGCAGAAGGTAAGACGAGAGCCAGATTGACCAAGAGACCATTTGTGGTCTCGAAGCAGCTGGTCCTTGTTTTTCAAGTCTACGATGGGCTTTAAACGAGAGAAACTCTACTATCTTCTGGAGCTCCCTAACAATTCCTCCTTGGGGGGGAAAGGACCCTTTTGTCCTGTCCAGGATGAAGACCAAGGAGCAGCCATTCATCCATCCATCCACCCACCTCAACCAACCAACCTCTCTCCTCTTCTCCACATCACCATTGCATGGCACACAAAGGCACTGGCAGAGCTACTGCAATCGGGTGGTCAGTCTGGGAAGTTTTTTGAGAGTTGGGCCATCACATCTGGACGACATCAGAGAAGGCCCAATTTGTGCCCAGAAAAAGGACTTGGATTTGTGGAGGCTTCAGAGGTTGCTAAGCCAAACAACTTCTAGCCCAGGGTTTCCCAACCATGAAACATTTAAGATGTGTAGATGTCAACTTCCAGAAGTTGGCTTGGGAATTCTGGAAGTTGACGTCCACATGTCTTAAAAGTTGCGTGGCTGGGAAGCCTGGTTTTAGAAATCCTCATCAGCACCATCCCATGGGGAAAAAAAGATCATTTAGACCATCTGAAAGGCCAACAGGTCCCCAAGGCTGCATCCCTCGCAACTTCCCTTCATTTCTGATCACCATATTCACTTCAAAGAGGTATTTTCACTTAAGACTAATCAAGATTCTATGGTCTGAGACCCTCATGTCAGGTTCTCCTGCTAAGCATGATTACTTAACAGTAAATAATGCTTATATTTCAGGAGGCCTCTTTCCTGCCAAATTAACTGATCTACTGACATGAGTAACCACAGGCCTACCTATACCTGCTTCACACACTACCATCCCACAAAGCCATTTTCTTCCCATTTGATCAGGCAACTATTTCAAAGGCAAAGTTCTAACATCCCACAAGGGTTTAAAAAAAAAAAAAAAAAGTAAAGTCACACATTACAAAAATGCACAATTAAAAAACTCCTGTTAAAAAGAGGATCAGGCGTACAAGACACATCTCAAAAAAAGTTAAATCACCTTAACGTAGTTACTGGTTGTTTTTTTGCAAAATATATATACTCATCCCGCTTTCCTTAGCAAAATTTGATACACCTGAAAGGCCATTAAGACTATGAAGCGTTAAGTAGAGAATCCGTATAAGAAAGTCACCTTAGTAAAAAGGAATTGATTTCTCCCACCCCTATGAAAAATCCTGAACGCAAGGAACTCAACCGTAGGAAAATTAAGCTTTTGCTCCACTGACGATGATTAAAGATAAAGATTTCAGTTATGTAATTAATGTCCTTGAAGGATCAGCATCTGGGTGACCCACTTGTAGAAGCTTGTGGGGGTGGAAGGGGAAGAGATCGTAACGGACTTGATAATGGGACCCCAATTCAACAATGGTCAGTGAGACAGACTGCATATGGCACGGTCGATCCCCAGATTGCCCCACACGGGAAGGGGGTCAATCTGGATCCCTTCCTTCCTTGTCCCAAACAGCAGAACTGTAACTATGTGCTATTTGTCCACTGCTGGATCAACACCAGTATCTCAAATATTTGAGAACCTCTGGGTATGTCATGTTCTCCCAATGGGGCTGAACATAAGCCATGTTCCAGACAGCTATCCATTTCACACACAGGCGAGGTTTCCATGGTTTCCTGACCAGGCCTTGAAGGCACCTTTCCACTACAGAATGGCAGAAAACCCATGTCCACCTGCTCAAGACAAAACACATGACTGGATGTCCCTGGCATGTCCAGATTTGCCCCAAATCCTCTTAAAATTTCCCCCATGCTGCACACCTGCCCACCTCAGATTCTGCGATCGGGAAGCCCTAAAAGAATTCCACCAACCATCTTGGTCGAATTCAACCTAAATCATTCTTGGCGACTTGGAGACGGGTGAACTTCAACTCCCAGCATTCCCCAGCCATTCTGGGAGTTTGAAGTCCACCATCTTAAAAAGTAGCCAAGGTTCGTTCATAAACACTGAACTAAACTGTTAAAAAAAAAAGGGGAGTCCATAACTACGTATAAAAAACAGTATTTCCTTCCAAGAATGCTGATTCTAACCCAATCAAGGCCCATTCACAGTCAGTAATACTCAACAATTTGTCAGTTCCTGGCTAGAGGATTGTAAATCCTTAAAGCACCTCCAGAAATCACTATGGAGACTGGAAACAGGCTACATCATCATCAAAATGCAGAATGTTAGCTTATCAAATGAATGTAACTGAATTCCGGGCAAATACTAACGTCAATGCAAGAAAAGGCACTTTTAAGACTAGTGTTTAAAAAAATGTCATTTTTGCATACATGCTGGTAGAACGGTCTCAAACCACGATGCCTGGAGCCAATATGGGCAATTGTTTCTCTTTACCCTTTAACCAGATTAAAAGCCGTAAGATTTTTTCCAGCTAGTTTTCTTTTGTTATTTCTTGGTTTTAATCCGCTAAGAGACACCAACCGTCCCACCAGCAAAAATTCATTGGCAGCGTACGCAATTCGGGAGGCAGATTTTTGTAAACTACAAGGCAACCTCAAAGCCTAAATAAATAAATAGAGAGCTGAGCCAAACGTAACCATGATGACCAAAAGGGAGGCGTAAAGCGAAATATAATTTACTTCAATGGAAGGGTAAAAGTTCTGGCTGAAATTCACAGCAATGCAAAATTTTAAATCATCATGGGATTGTTCTACCACCTGAGGGGGGGAAATATATATATATATATATTGCTCTAGTATTTCGCACTGGTTAGTCACCCTGCAAATCTCTCTCTTTTTTTCTTTTCTTTGCTATTTCTCTTCCTTCATCCCTCTTGTCAAGCTGCAGGCTTCAGCCAGCAACTCCAAAAGAGGAAACCTCACAAAACAGAAACAAAACACAGTTAATCATCAAGCCCAACTTTTGATGCATGGGTGTTATCAGGAGGGTGAATCAACTTCCAAAAGCAATTGCCCTATCAACCAAGACAGCAGGAAGAATCATGGGTGAAACTAAGACAAGACGATCAACGGATCGGCTGCAACGTTAAAACAAAACAAAAATAATAATAATAATATTCTGTGCATTATGAAAACACAAGGATTTTGCCTTTAAATACTTTTGTGCAAAAACATCAACGTGGTCTATAAAGTTAGGACAGCTTCTGGCTAGCGGTGTCGGATTAAGACCGCCGTTTCTTCTTCGTTCGCTCCCAGGGTTAGTCTTCATTGGCCAGGGTCTCGGTGGACAACCAGATTTTGGCACCGCTCAAGAATTTGCTCAGGGGCGTGCCCAGGATGCTACGCCGACAAAGGTTTCCCACAGGGGAGAATGGAAAAGCGGAGGAGAGGAAGTCTGGCGTGGTGGGACTGTCATTGAGCCTGTGGGCTCGGAAGTAGAGGCGACCCTGGTCCTGCTCGGATGCGTTGGCCAACAATGGCGGGCTGCCGTTGTGTTGCCTCAAGCTCTGGTTCAAGGACTCCACCTCGTCGGCCAACAGAGAGATTTTGTGGAAGGCTGTGATGAAACCCCCGTGCTTGATCTGGGCCTCGGGGATCCAACGGAAGTAGCAGAGTTTCCAGAGTTTGATCTGTGTGCCAGAGAGGCGGGGTAGGATCACACCGTGAAGGTCTGCTGGCTTGGAGAACCAGTCTCGGAAATACTGTTCCATGCCGTTGGTCGTGTTGTCCATGTGATGAAGGAAGTCCGGTTTCAGCTTGAGGATCAGGGAGCTTCTTCTGGGGAAGAAGTCTTGTTCGTTGATGATGCCGTTCTTGAGGGAAGACGGGAAGCCTCTGAGGGTTGAGCTGTAGTTCTTCTGTGGAACGAAACGGGGAATAAAATGTTTCCCATTGTTCACTGCACTGGATTATGAGGGATTCATGTTAAGTGAATCAAGAAATAAAATTAAGGCAACTGCAGATATGACCCAAGGGTATCTAGCGCAGAATTCTGCATGTCCACTGCAGGATGCCTCCAAGAACATATTGGGGATCGCACATGACTGAACAAGATCTGGCAGGAAAGGCCAAGATTCATTTGGTGTAAGGAGGGGCAGACTGTAATTCTGAACCATGGCAACTTTAAGACATGCGGACTTCAATTCCCAGAATTCCCCAGCCAGCATGGGGTTGAGCATTACTGCCATAGAGTAAGGAAGAGATATACGATGAGTGAAACACGTCTAGAGTCTGCAACAGGCAGATAATATTACGAAGAGGCTCAAATAGACACCTCCCTAATTCACAGAAGTATAAGAGGGGGGTTGTTATGATGGCCAACCTCAATCCAAATAATCTCAGCCTCCCTGTGGAGCTGGTTTTCTGATCTTCCCAGTGACTCCCACACAGACCACTCCAGATGTGTGTGTGTGGGGGGGTGGTGTTCATAGGAAGGTAAGACTCGCCTAAATTGGTGTCCTGTAAGTCGGTCACTTGGCCCCATTCTTACCTTTGACCGTTTGAAGGTTTTCACGGTCCCGTTGCACACACATGGTGTGCTCTTGCCAATGTACAGAGGGTTGTGAAAGAGCAGGCGATCCCGCGGGGTGAGCTGAAGGGACCAATCCCAAACGGAAGGAAATTTCAGGCCTTTCTCATCACCCAGCTGAATATTTTTGCTGATGGCAAATTCCTGGAAGCAACCAAATGAAAAGATGTCAAGCGAAGCAACCAAGACCCCCTTCCTTGAGTTGAGATTCAAGGCTGCTCTAAGACCGATAAAGGTTCAAAAAAATCAAAGACCAGCAACATCACAATTCCGCAACACAAAGGATTCTGTGCCTCACACGCTACCCTTTCCTTGGAAGTGTAAACCACACAGTGAAAAAGCTCCACTGAAGTACAACACGCCTGCTCAGAGACAACCATCACACCTGTACTACCCTGACAGATATTCTCCTGACTCCAGGTAAGCTGAAGCTCTTCACACACTTCAATGTTGCCCCATGGTTTGACCTTCAAGGGCCCCGCCTTCTTAAATTGGCCGGTTGTGTGTTGCACCCACCGTGCTTTGCTTCACTCTCTGATGCGGAGAATTGAAGAGGAAAGTACCAAACAGTGAGATCCGTGTACTGTCGTACAATATGGTCAAGTAGACTTCAGAAAACTCAAAGGCCGATGGGTACTGCTCAAGCAGCTGCCAGACACAGTCAAGGAACATCAGGAACAAAGGAGACTAGAGGGAGGAGGAGACAGCTGGTTAGATAAACAAAACCTCTGGAGAAGCCTAGATGGATTGCAAAACAATTAAAAAGCTGCTTCAAGTTGAGTTCGATTCTAGTGACTTTATGGGCTCAACCATGAGTTGGCTTCCCCTGGCCGTTTTAATGGAGTCCTTTGTCCCCAACAGCTGTAGGATTTCTTACTGGTTTCCATCCAAGTATGAAGCAGGTTTGGCTCTCCAATATATATTTTTTAGTGGGAAGATCAAGAAAGTTTCGCTAAGTTCCACCCTTAAAAGTCTTGGTCCAACCATTTTTGCATTGATCCACCAGGCATTTGCCTGGACTCACAAGGGCTCAAGCTGTGATGAGGATGGTCAATGTCCACTGGGTTTGTCCCCTGCTCCTCTCTGTCCCTTGCTCACTCTCCCCTCTTCAACTAATCACAGAATTGTGATGTGGAGAAATGCCTAACTAACTACCTTCTTCAAGTTGGGACTTTTTTTTTCATCCTGTTACCTCTTTGTCAGATTTCTTCAAGTGATTGCACCGGTCCAGAAACGGGTGTCCTGCCATGACCCACTCCTTCTGAATCAGGCTCTGAAATCCAGCGATGGTCCGAAAATGGGGATCCAACATCACTTGGACAAGAGATGCCACACAGCAGCTTAGGTCTCGCCCTTCTTCCTCTGTGGAAGGAAGGATGTGTTTTTAACCCAAAACTGATTTCCTGTGTTGTATAACTTAACCAGAGCCTCTGCTCGACAGGTGAGTCTCTAGAAATATAAGCATCCATTGCAGAGTATCAAGTTTCATGGACATCGATAGAAACCAGCTTCAAATGCCTACCCAACTCATCCAAACGTCAACCGTAGGCAATTAATCTGGTTTAACGTGTCTCTATTACTAGATGAATGCTGGATGAGAGAAGAACAGAGTTCTGTTTTATGGCATGGAGTAAAGATAAGTCTATGGGAAAGAACTGGAATAATTAATTCAGGTTATGGTGTCAACGCTCCCTTAAGTAATTATTTTTGTTATAAATGCTTAATTAAGGCCATATAAAGATTTTGCAGGAACATCAACACGGTTTTTCAAAACAGACTAGCTTACCTTGCAAAATTACTGAAACGTGTTTGCTGTCCAGCATGTAGACCAGTTCTGCAGAAAGCTTCAGGAAGATTCTAGATCAAGAGGTCCCAAAAATCTAGATTACCTTAGATGAACGTACAGGTTAATTCTCATGCAAAATTCCCAGAAATGTTGGCTTTAATGCCTGGCAATGTTGATTTCCCACAGAGAGAGATTCGGGTTTTCAGAATTGGTGCAGATAAGATTCTGTTTGCAAATCACACAACTTTTAACTCTTTAACTGACACGGTTTTTATGGGAAGTGACCGTCCAGATTTCGACTTCTTTACCTACCTCACGTATTCCAGCCAACGTGAACTATCTAGCAAGGACAGCCACTTCTCCTCTGTTTCTTCAAAAGGCTCTGAGACAAAAGAGATAAATCATTTTCAAATACCAGCATTATAGAGTGTGAAAAAACAGTCCAAGCACAAGAGGTTCCACGTTGGTTAACCATGAATAAGGAGAAGAGATGGACACGTTCTTTAAGGCTTGCATACAAATTCCTCCAGAACTTTCAACTAAACCTATGGGCGGCCCTACCAAAAATACAGTAAATATTAACCAGATTAATTCCCCCCCCAAAAAATAATAATAATAATAATGCTGCATATAGATATTTAAAGCTTTAGGCTGAGAGGGGAGCAAATCTGAACATTCATCTCCCAGATGACCTGGGTGGAAATGATACTGCAATCCTCCTGCGCTTATGTTCTCCGGGTCTTTAGAATTAAAAATAATCTGGGGGTATATATTTAGAAACACAGAAGAAGCCTTTTCTTCTTCTTATCCCACGACCTAATACGATTAGAGAGGGGTTGCTACCAGATGCTGCTCCATGTTATTTCAATCATCCTTTTTGGACTCGTCTTTGAGAAGTTTAGTATGTTTTACACGTTTTACATCTGCTCGCCTCAGATTCTCTGCCTCTTTGGCAACGCAAGGACCAACCCAGGTTTGAGGGCCTTACCATTCACACATAACTGCTTCAGTTTGAGGAAAGCCGTCTGGATTTCTTGAATATTTGGCAGGCATTTATCCAAGTCGGATTTGTAGACGTCACTCCTCTGTGGATGACTTCTGGTGACAGCATTGCAAATCCTACAAAGAAAAAAGAAGAGAAATCGTACCCAGGGCATTTTTAGAAGTGTCTTATGATGGCTTCACCCCACAGCTGGCCCCAAAGCCCCTTCTCAGCCCAGAGTTACAGCTGCAAGCTTCCCTTCCCCTCCCTAAGCTGCTTCCTGTGGGCAAGGACACACCCAACTACAGACTCAAAAATGACCCTGCTAGGAAGCACCAGATGGCCGCAGAAGGAGGTGGATAAGAGAAATGGCCCCATCTCACCATACTTCAGAACTCTGGCTCAACTATCTGGCCTTTCTGTGGAAGCCTTGACAATGTGAAACAGGGCTAAATGGTTTATAAGGACATCCCTTGAAAATTAATAAACCAGTTCTCCTCAATCTGACGCTCTACAATCCATCCATCCATCGACATATTTGCAATTTTCACCACTGGCTATCTGGAGGGAGATGGTGCCTTTAACAGGACCCATCCTCTTAAAGCCAAAGGAACACAAGATCATAGGGCTGGAAGCAGGGGTGGGATGCTCCCAGTTCGCACCTATTCGCTAGAACCGGTTGTTAACATTCTAAGCAATTCGGAGAACCGGTTGTTAGAAGAAATTACTGGCCTAATCCTGTAAGGAAGGCAGGAAGGAAACATTCTGGTGTTGCTTACAGAAACTGCCTCTCCGTTAACCCTTATTACAGTCTTGGCAGGACTAGACTTCCTGTCTCTGGAACGTCTCTGGAGTTTTTCCCCCCTCCTTTGCTGGCACTTTGCTTGTGTGGAGTCACCATTCAAAGTCACAACGGCACTGAAAAAGTGACTTATGACCGTTTTTCACACTTACGATTGTTGCAGCATCCCCACAATCATGAGAGGCCAGGCAAGGAGATGCGTGCCTCGATGTGAGTGATATTGAGTTGACCATGCCCAGCCAATAACATGACCACCAAGCCACGCCCACCAACTAAGCCACGCCCACAGAACCGGTTGTTAAAAATTGGAATCCCACCAATGGCTGGAAGGGACGTTGGAAGTCCAACTCCCTGCTCAAGGCAGGAGATTGTAACCCATCCCGGCCAATGGTTGACCTCACTTTTATTTTGTCTCTCTGCTTTCTCAGCTTGGGCAGAAGGTTAGATTGGAAACAAGATAAATGAATGCAGCAATCCGTACCGTTGGTCTATTTTTCGTTGCTGTAGGCTGTCCTTGATGTGGGCCACTCTCACCAGAGCGTTCCCGTTGGAATGGTTCCAACACCACATCTAGGAAACCAAGGTAGAGGTGGTTAAGTTCCATACATCACAAGACACCCGAAGGAAGTCAACAGAGTTTTAAGACCCCATCTTCTTTTTCAACTGGTTGCACCAGACTCAAAAAGTGCCCAAGAGCTGCTGAAAGTAGGTTTTTCAGGGGCTTAATAACAGGCAAAGAGGAGCAACCTGGATTGGTTTTGGGGGGTCTCTTTATCCTTTTTGCTACTGCTTTATACCTCTCTCTTTCTCTCCCTCCCTCCCTCCGTCCCTCCATCTATCCATCCCAACACAGTCTTCCTAGTTGGACACAGAACAGAAGAGTTAATCTAGGGCTGTGTTTCTCAACCTTGTTTGCTTGAAGATGAGTGGATTTCAACTCCCAGAATTCCCCAGCCAGCATAGGAATTCTGGGAGTTGAAGTCCACCCATGTTCAAGCTGCCAAGATTGAGGGACACTGATCTAGGGTGTCAAAACATCAAGAACCTGACTGCATCCTTTCCAACTAACAGGCTTAATAAGCTTAGGCCTTTTAAAATTTGTTAGAAAAGGTACTACCACACTTCTGGGTTTTTTTGGATCCCAACATACACTATGGGGGGTGGGAAAGCAAAGGGCCCCCCCTTGCCAAAAAGAAGACCAACTCATTAGACCAGCCTCCATTTCTTTCATATGTCTGATAATACACCGCCCTCCCTTCTGTCTCTTTTAACCCTTAAGAAGGGAAGGGCCATCACATCCTCTTTGCGCTTACTGGCATCCGTCGTCCGGTGAAGGCGTGAGAATACAGCTTCAGGTCTTGATCCGCCAGCGAGGAAGGGACCACAAAATATTCTGGAAGACTTCAGAAAGGAAACAGAACGGTCATTGGAATCCCAAGATCTTAAAAATAAGGGGGTGGCATCCTCCGTTTCGCACAGATCCTGCCACTGTGTTATAAAGGTTTACCTGGTGGATATCATGTAGCCTTCGTTGACTGAACAGACCCGCCACTCGGATGCTCCTGTCCTCTTGATCTCCCTATCCCAGTCTGAGAACGTTTCAAACAAGGGTGTCTGATGGTGAACGCTATAACCACCTCTACCACCTCCTCCTCCTCCTCCTCCTCCTCCTCCTCCTCCAGGGTCTATTCCATTCACCTTTTTTGCTGGAAGAAATAAAGCCAGGTTTGAGTATTTTTCATTTCAGAGTGGAAAAGCACAGAGGCACGGGATTTTTAAAGGAAAACCAAGAGAGATCAACATTCGATGTGGTGATTTTTAACAGAGAAGAAGATGAAATGAAATACTATAAACCACAGTGAGGTGGGTGTTTTTTTTTAATTGCAGTGATCACCAGCCTAGGTTTCCCCTAATGACTTAACTGTGGTCAAGTTCTCCTGGTTTGGGGCTGTGTCCTTTTTGAGGTTTTGCAGGTCAGTTTGTCCATCTGCTCTCAAAGGTTTTTGATAGGACAAATCTTCTCCCATAGCTTCAGAGCAGAACCAGCATGGCTTCTGTTAAAAGTTGGGATAGACCGGCTTCCCCCACTTTTTCTAAAATATCTGCGTCTAATGCAGGGTAAAAGTAACTTGGTGACATTCGAGTCACCTCATTCCCAAGCTCCAGAGATTATCCTGGAGGTCTTCAGTAAAAAAGTCCTAGGAGTCATAAAACTTGCATCCAGCCCAAAGGCATTTCTAGAAAATTTAACTAACTGATAGGTTGACCACTAAGTGGAGATGGTTGCCACCCAACTTAGCAGGAATAGCCGAGATCTGGGCAGAAAGTGGTTGAGTCACCTAATGGGTCTCCAGAATTAAACCTGGGAGTATCCTCTGTGGGGCACTTCTGGACCAGAAGATAAGCCAATCAGTAAGAAAGGGAGAAGGACTTATTCAGATGTCCACTTAACCAAGACACATAAACAGAAAGAACTGATATGTCTGTGGCCATCAAACATTCTCTGTGGAGTTGGATTCTCACTGATATGACCTAGTTGGATCATGAAACATCTGCAAGAAAACCACCAAGCTCAGAGAACTCCACAAACTTTCAACTTTGAGCTACAAGGATCCTCCTCTATTAAATCTTCCTCTGTGTTATTAAATCTTTAATTTAATCTATTAAATCTTCCTCTGTGTTACTTTTTATCAAATCAGACGAGTATAGAAAGAAGAATGTCCATGGCACAAGACCACGGGGCTCCTTGACACCAGCAAATACTTTCTGCCCAAGTTAATATCCAGGATCCAAGTTAAACAGCCCCCATACCTGGCGTCTCCTTTACCTGGATTGTGATATTTCTTGCCCACATATTCAAATGCAAAGAGCAGCTGGAGGTCTGCCGGTTGTGAGTAGTGTGCTATTGCAAGGCACACCTAAAAGTGGAGAAAGAAAAAGAGACACGATCTTCAGATGAGGACAAGCAAGCCAGAACCCCCTACACATTATTTGTACAGCCAGAAATTACAAAGAAGGGGCAGAAAAACAATCACCAAAGTCAGCAGAAAAGGGTGGCCTGTAGGAATGCCTGCAACTTTGATTTCCTTCCCCACACCCTGCAAAAAAAAAAAAAAGGTCTAACTTGTTGGCTGTTGATGCTCACTAGCGCAACTGCACACACAGTAAGGCCTTTGTCATCATGGATTTTAATGGATGCCACTTCTTATTAGTGGCCAAGGCTGCCAATGGCTTCCATTGTATGTCGTGGAAAAGGAAAAAAGGTCAACATTTTTTTCTGTCTACCGGGAGAAAATATTTCACGGATTAATCATGTTCTTGGGTTGTTGGTTTTTTTGAAGCGCTTAGGAAGCAAAAAAAGGGAAGTTTGGAAAAAATCTTGGGCTGAAAGTGACCGCTTCAACTTTCAGTTCCTACTTTCTGAGAATTCAGCAGCCCAGATGAGACAGGATGAGAATACGGGTTGGGGTTGGTTTTTTATTTTAAAAAAATCATTCCTACAAGAGATCCAAAGGAAAAATTGTGCTTTCTGTGTCCCACCCCTCAGCCAGATTCTCTTTGGAGACAACCTCCTCTGTTTTCATTTCTCTTCTGAGGGGCATTCATGCCATCATCTGCCTCTTTCTGGAAGATTAGAACCAGGCTTAGATTTGATATCTCATTAACCCTGGTCTATTCGATAAGTCAATAATGTGGCCATGTTAAGGCATTAAGCCCAAATCAAACCAACCATGTCCTGTTTTCAACCAAGTTTTCAAAGCCTGGAACATGAGTAGCATTAACCAGCACCCCAGGACCCAAGAGAACTGGGGTAAGCTGAAATGTAGACGTGGTATGGAAAGCTGAGAAGATGCCTCTGGCATGGACCTCGTCTTCTAGCTAAAAATATCCTGCAGCTGATCGCCAAAGCTGCTTTCAAGTTGCTCCTCAGGCAGATGATTGTTAAGAAGGATCAGAGCCACGTTGATCTTATTCTGACGGCTCAAAAAACCAGCTGTGTGCTGGGAAAAATGACCGAGCCAAAAGCTGCTAAGACGTCTTGGAGGATTAGAGAAGGGACAAAGCCTACTGTTTATGTTCTCTCAGATGAAAAAAATATGCATTTCCTGCATTGATTAACTCATAAGGAAACGTGGGAACTGCCAAGACTTATCTGTCTGCCAAGGAACTAACAAGCTGGTCAACCCATGAAGATATCGAACTAATCTTGACGTGGGAAACAATCCAAAATATACCAGCTAGCCAAGGACATGTGACACTTGGCTTTGGCCCAGATTTTTAAGCTAATCATCCACCATGTTAGAAAGAGTTATTTCTCACTCCTTGACACGTGCACAGTCTTCCGTGTTGGTGTGTGCACAAGTTCACAGGTGTGGGATTGCTGCAAAAGCAGCCAAAGCAACACAACCGAAATTATTTCCACTGCACGTGTTGTGTGTTTAAACTCAACTAACGTTAGCCAGGGTCAACATTTGGAAACACCGTGAGGAACGCGCTGAAAAGTCTCTTTGTATTCTATGCTTCCATTTTGTGAGAGGGAAAAAAAATCTATTTTAGACCACTAAATAAAACCAACTCAGTCCATGTCTGCTTCAGGATGTTAAAATATTTACAGTTTCTACCAGCTGGAGGAAAAAAAACCCCATCCTTGCTTAAACACACAGCTGTACAAATTTAAACCAAGGTGCCAGCTAGTGGCACATGCCACACTCAATGGTCTTCTTGTTCTGTTCCCCCCCCCCTTTCTTTCTTTTTTAACCTAAGCTCGGAGGTTTTATATACGTGCAGAAGAAGGTTGAACCATCTGCCAGGAAAACTCTTGACTCCAACCAGTTAGAAGCTACTTCTGAATGTTCACATCTGCTTTTTTGAGGAACCATGGGTGAGAGGACAGTCAATCCTTATTGCAGATTTGAGTTATTTAGTGATTATTTATTAATTAAATTTCTACTATTCGACAAATGGATTCAATGCTTCTCCTTCCCGCTGTTAACAGTTTTCAAAAACATTTCCTTCGTTCAACACTTCCCTCTGCCTGTGATTTCAACTCTAGATATTCAAGACCTGGTGGTACCTTTTTAGCACTTTCCGGTCCAGCTTCATCAAAACGAAAACGGACAATGCGAAAGTCTTTGCAGTAAATAATTAATTCCGTTGGATTAAACTTCAGCTTTTGGTTGGGGCCTAAGACTTTCTGCTTCCTCTTGGTATCGTTCACTGCGAGAGAGGAGGGGAAAGGCGCAAGAGATTATAACTTTTGTTTAAAACAAAGACCTACAAAGCTCATGCCTTGTATAAAGCCTGTTAATGTGGGTTCTTGTTTCTGCAATTTATGAAATGCTCTCAATTCCTAATTAGCAGAGAGGTTTAGCAACTCGTCTGTCCTTTACCTGTGACGATCTGCTCTACACACGTCAAGGCAACATCGTGTTCTCCCAGGAGGAGATTTTTGTACTGGAATTTCTGAAAGAGAAGAGATGCAATCAGGATACACACATGAACTATATTGGTTTTAGTTGTGTCTTGCCGGAGAAAGGACAAAATTAGCTTGGTTTTGGATTTTTTTTTAAGGGGGCGGGGGGAGAAAATGTTGTTACATGACTCCAGATTCACTTTGTAAGTAAGGTAGGAGTTATTAAAAAAATAACAATAAATTATAGTTTATATACAGGCAGTCGTCGACTTACAACAATTCACTGAGTGGCCAAAGTCACAACAGCACTGAAAAAAGTGACTTATGACTGTTTTTCACACTTATGACCGTTGCAGCCACCGTGTTCCTAACTTAACAGTTGCAGTGATCCACTTAATGATGGCAAGAAAGGTCGAAAAATGAGGCAAAATTCACTGAACCATCGTCTCGCTCAGCAACAAAAAATGTCCAGCTCAATTGTGGACGTAAGTCGGGGCCTACCTGTAATTCAGAGTGTCACAAATATTAGGATTTAAATTTGAAGAAAAAAAAGGTGCCGTTCTTGCAAGATCACCCATCCCTCATTCCTGGCTGTTTGGACTCGCAACTAGCATTTAAATGCAGCTGCCCAGATGTTGGCAGATTCCACACTTCCCATCTCAAATCTCAACCTGACACTGGGATTCTTTCCAAAACCATTCGAAAACACTTCCTTTTCCTTTCCATTCTTATTTATATTAACAAGTGTTTGTTTAACTTTAGCATCCATGCCCGTACTGCGAAGACTTGTAAGATATTTCCCCAAAAAAAACCCAACCTATGCAGAATCCTAAGGGACCTTGGAGGTCTTCAAGTCCAACCCCCTTGCCCCAGCGACTTATATATTTTAAAAGATTCCCTTTTCTTTTCTTTTTTAAAAGATAGTGCTTGCTTGCTTTTCCTTCATATACCCCGCACCCACCCCCAAAAAGAAAGAACCTGAATAACTATCTGCCTTTGCTAAACTTCCAAAGAGCAAATTCAGGGAAACGAGGTAACTAGACCAGGCAACAGAACTTGCAAAACGTAGATATTTTTCTTCGGGTTGTTTCCCTGTGCTGTATTGCAAAAGGAGAATTGCACAGCAGGACTTAAAAGCCGAGTTCAACGGAGGTTTCCTCTGCTTGGCCACGAAAGGAAATCTCCTGGCCACGTGTGAGTATTCCACAGAGGGTTCTTACAAGAGAGAACGGGGAAGCCCCCAACGTGGCCGGAGCTGCCAACTTAAACCCAAAGGTGCTTTTTCAACTTGACTTTCGAGTGTTTTTCCCCCCCCTTGAAAACGTTTTGCTTTGCATCCAAGAAGCTTCTTCCGTTCTGGCTGGAAGGCCCTGTGAGGTCTCTGGTAGCCTTAAGATTCTGGACTGTTCTTCAGTTCTGTCTGAAGATGCTTCTCGGATGAGAAACAAAACGTCTTCAAGGGGGGGAAAAAAGCCAAGACAGTGACAAAAAAATAAAATAAAAAAGAGCGGCCTTGGGACAAGCGTGGCTTGGAGGATTGAGACAATTTTGCCAAGTTAAACCCACAGCTTCTGGGCGCTCCTGCTCAGATCGTGGCATCCGACCGACCTGAAGAGGAGGGGCGTCATCTGTGATGAAGGATATCTTGAAGTTGCTGCAGACCAGTTTCCCCCAGAGGTCGTATTGGCTTGTATCCGTTGCGATGCATTTCCTCACAAAGTTCACTTCGTTCACCACAATTTCACCTGCAGAGAGGAAAAGAAAGCTGGTGGGATCCCTGGATGAAATCTTCCAACGAAATCAGCGTTTCTCAAAGGCTTTGTGCCATGGGGACCCTTTGAGGACAATCAGTGGACTCTCCTTCTTGCAAAAATGGTGGGAAATTAAATGGTGAAAATGGGGGGGGGGTTTCCTTCCCTTATCCTCCCATTTCCCAAGTGCACAGACCCTCTGAAACCCATCCGTGGATCTCCAAAGAATCTCCACGGAGCCAAAGCAAAGAACCCCTGAATTAAATTAGCTGAACTTTGTAACTTCAGAACGCTGTTCAACAAAAACAGCTTAAAAACTAGTGCTGTACAAAATTTGGATTTGATTGAAAAGGGTTCTCTGAAGCAAGAGCAACAGCACCTCCTTGCTTCTCTTTAAAGCAGCTGCATCTTTCCTTGGCTTGTTTTGTTGTCCTCTACGGCTTCCGTGGGAGTCTAAGATGAAGCTGCTTTAAAGAGTTGCAGAAAGATGCTACATCTGGGACTTTGCATCCTTTTGAAACTGATTCTTGAAGCAATGACTTGCCCTACTAAAAACTTATTTCTAAGAAGCCCAATGTCTAAAACATGGTCTTCTTTTATTGATTGGTTTTAAATTATTTACATCATACTGTCCCAAGTTGGACCAATTATGTTTTCAAAGATAGAAAGTTTTAAAGCTTTTAAGTAACGAAAGCCTCAAATTCAAAAGGAGGAACTTTGGAATAACAAACTTTTTTTTTTGTTGTTGCTAATGGAACTTCACATCTTCAAGAGCAGATGCAGGTGGGCCCAGGCTTTCTTGCAAACCCACTTAGGAATAATTAAACCTTAAAACTCATTTATAAAATGCCAATCCAAAAGAATCGTTTTAAATATTTTTCTATTTCCCCAACCTCAAACTTAACAAGGACTAAAAGTGAAAAAAAATGCTGTTCAGAAATAATTTAATTTAATTCAATCTGAAAGTCTCTATTTGCAGGTATTTGAACAAAACGTCTACTCTAAATTTAGCCACAGACCGGCACCCTTCTCCTTCCGCTTTGCAAGCACAAGCTGTTCCAAGCACTGAATGATAATCATGTGCAAATGACTCAAACAGAGATGTCAGAGGCAAAAAAAGCTGCATGTGTTTTCCAAGAACCCAACAACACCCAGCAACACAGTTATATCTGCAGAAACCACACCAGAATTAAGAGCCATACAAAAGTCCCCAGGAGAGGCATGGAAATCAAAGCCACAAATACCTAGAACAAAGATTTACTGGGAATTTCAGAGCTCTGGCTCAGATGCAAATTATTAAGAAGAGCAGGCAGCCTCTGAATTTCATAACACATCAATGTGTTTATTTATTCATTTGGATTTATTACATGTTGCATTCTTTAAAAAAAAAAAAAAGGAAACAATTTAGCTGGGCAGAGAGCACTGGGGTTTTGCTTCCAGTCATGGTTACAATGATCGAACACAGATTTGTCCTCAGTTAACACGCGACTTGAGCATTGTGCTTCTCTAGCATCAACCAGGAAATTCCAGAAAGGTCTAATACAGGAAATATCAACATGTTACCATCTGACATAAAAAGGCTGGAATGCAGAGCTGAGGAGAGTCGAAAAGGGGGGGGGGGATACAGGAAGCCTTCGTGGGGCTCATACTTCATACTAAACGTCACTTACATCATTCACACTGCCTAAAAGCTTGCATGCTGAAAAGGACCTATAAATATGAGCACATTTGCATTTTCTGGGTGAAATGAATGAATCTGCCCCAAGCTTTGTACTTTCAGGAAGTGCTAACCGTTTTCCTTGAGGTTGAAGAAGAATAAATGCACTTGTTGATCTGACCCTACTAAGTTACAGCAAAGAGCTGATGGAAAAGGAAATTCCAGCCAAAAGAATCTGGCTTCTGAAAAGCCTTCCTTGGGCTGCAGGATTATAAACTTTATATCTGCCTAGCATTTGACAATGAAGGGAGAAAGCCCTTCATTTACCTGACAGCGGAGAACAAGGACAATTATTTTACATAACAATTAAACACTTCACATTTGTTAATGCTGACTAAATCTGTTAAAACTTTATTTGCTCATTCCTTAGGGAAGCAGAAGGGGAGGACCAATAACAGGTCACTGTTAATGATCCCTTCCTGCATTTCAGGTTGATGGTGTACAATTCCATGGTCGATGTTTTGATGGGTAAGTTGCCAACAAAAATATCTGATGTCTAAAGCACGGCTAAAGTGCATTTAGTAAGCAATAAGGAGGTAAGGACCTCACATTCTAGGTCAGGTGTCTCCAAACTTGGCAACTCAACTAGCTGAGGAATTCTGGGAGTTGAAGTCCCAGGGTGGAAGTTTGAACTTTCAGATTTGCAAGATTGATGCCAGCTCACAACTACCACCTCCTCTCCTCTTGTTACGCAAACACATTCCCCACGGAGGCAATGTTTCTCTAAAAAGTTACATTGGTCCTTTTTAAATTTACGGCCAGCTTAGGATTTTCAAGATAAGGTGCCCCTGTCTGTACAAGATTCCTTTGAGATCTTAGCAGGTCACAATCCAGCATCTGCTCCCCCTCTTCCTATGGCTAGTACTAGGAAAGTCCAAGGACACAGGTAGAGAAACCAAATGCCAATAAATCACAGAGCACCAATGCAGGAGAGGTACAAGCATGGGAAGTTCAGCTGATGGTAGCACAATTATTCAGTTACAGATTTTGCTCGAGTAACCCAAAAGTCACTCCCAAAATTCAAATCTATGCAAGCATCTCACCCGTACAAAAAAAAGGCTAAGCCAGTGTTTCTCAATCTTGGCCACTTGGAAGATGGGTGGACTTCAACTCCCAGAATTCCCCAGCCAGGAACCCAACCCTCAACCTCAACCTGGCTTAGCCTATGGAATTCTTATTCCAACCAACCATTCAGAGGAAGAAAACATTAAGAACAATATCTTCAACATTCAATGCCTTCTTCTCGACTTGGTAAAGTTTAATGTAAAATATCTGTGCATCAAGCATTTAAAAACAACCCAGGGGAAAAAAAGACAGCCAATAAATATTGGCAGATATTTCTTAGACCATCTTTAGTTCCTCCCTGATTCGTAGCAAGCAGCTTCTCCTTCCGCAGTGAGCTTTGGGGATTTTATAACTGAGATAACTGAGCACTGGAGAAGAGAAAATCCCTCCACGCTGCTCAGTCAGGCCGAAGCAGGCACAATCCTCCTTCATCCCCGTTGGTTATTTGCAGAAATAAAGGTCACAAGCCTGCCAGGCGATTTAATTGTGCACCCAGTGCCAACTAGCAAAGACGTGAATACCGCTCTCCTTTCTTCGTGAAACTGGGAGAAGCTGTCTGCTCAAAAGCGGGAGATCAGATTTGGCAAATAAATCCCGAATATACCGGTATATCGTTTTAAAAGGACCACTTCTGAAAGCCAGAGGGTCTTCGGAGGAAGAAAAAAACCTGCCCTGGATAGGTGACCTGTTGCAATAGGTAGAGGCCCAAAGGTACAACGTTCCACGCTGGCCATACAAAGAAAGCGGGAACGTTGTGGTTTGAAAAAGGAGCAACAAATTCCGATAAAAAGGAAAACAGGCCCTTAAGGAACAATCGGAGTCTTGCAATCTCTTAAAAGGCTCAGAAAAAACTCCTGTGGGGTGCAAAGCCTGTTTGGACACCTATCTGGAATGTTTACCTGGCAGTAGGACAGGCTCCAGTTTCTTAAGTCGAGGCTCCGGAATGATCTTCTCTTCAGCCTGAAAAACAGGAGAAGGGCAAATGTGCAACCATAAATAAAATACACAGGTAAGTCCTTGACTTGCAGTCAATTAGTTTAGTGACCATTTGGAGTTAAAAAGAGCACTGAAAAACGGGACCAGTCCTCGCACATACAACTTTTGCTGCATCCCTAGGCATGCGATTTAAAATTTGGCCACTTGGCAACTGGCATTTATGATGCTTGCAGCATCCTGGGGCTACGTGATCGCCAATGGCAACCTTCCAAGCCATCTTGCCACAGTCAAGAGGGGGGGGGAGTCAGATTCATTTAATGATGGCCTGATTTACTGGACTGCTGTGATTTGTCTAATGACCATGGCCATAAAGGTTATTAATGTTGGGCACGACTTAGTCAACCACCTCCTTGCTTAACAACAGAAAATCCAGCTCCCATTGCAGTTGTGTGTTGAGGTCCACCTGTGCTGGGCTGGCTGGGAATTTTGGGTGTTAAAAGCGGGTTAAGAAACTACTGTAGGAACAGAGCAACAACCTGAGTTTAGAAAGCCCCGTAACACTGGAGCATTAAATGACTCATAAAAGTGACCGAGCCGGTTTAAGCCACTGTGGCATCCACTTTCCTTTGTGCCTGTGAACTTTGTGCTGATAGTAGCCCCACTTCTTTTAAAACCAGCCAACTCCATCCAAATGTTTTGGAGTACAGAGGCTCCCACAGTAAAGCTTGCTGCTTTATTTACCCTTCAGGCTCCTTCTTTCGTTCTAAAGTACCCTTTCCAAAAACGACTCCTTGGGTTGTTAAAATAATTTAGCTATTTGCACACTTTTGAGCCTGACCATGGAAAGAGCGCCTTTCCGGAAATGAAGACCCTAATCAAAGGAGCATCCTCGTTTTCCAAGGAGGATTATCAGTTGGATTTTGAACCTCGGGCGAACTCTGTTTGGGCTGACGTTCTCGTGAAATTTAAAGAGGTGGAGAATTTAAACAGGAGCTGCAAATCCGAAAGGCCAAACACAAATCTGCTTTCCATGCATTCATTTCATTCGGCGACTATGGCAAAGAAAACCCTCCCTTAATGTTGCAAAGGCACAAAATCCCTCCCAAGCAAACTGTTGGCTCCAAGGTGTGCTTATTCCTCCGATCTTGATTGCAGAAAGTATTACTTCAGCCACAGTGTGGTCCATGCCTGGAATGCACTACTTGACTCTGTTGTTACATCCTCTCTAACGCCCACTCCTTTAACCTCAAAGGATCCACTATGGACCTCACCCCATTCCTAAGGGGTCTGTAAGGGGCGTGCATAAGTGCCCCATCGTGCCTCCCGTCCCTGTCCTATTGTCCCCATTTATTCGTACCTATTTCCTGTATTCTTACTCATGTTTATATTTATACCTGTTACCTTGTAAGCGATTGACAAATAAAATAAAAATTAAATAAGGAAAGAAGGAAGGGGGAAGGAAGGAGAACAGGGAAGGGGAAGGAAGGAAGGAGAGAAAGGGGAGGGAGGGAGGAGAGAAAAGGGAGGGAGGGAGCAGGAGGAAGGAAGGAAGGAAGGAAGGAAGGAAGGAAGGGGAGAGAATACCCATTCCTAAGAGGCCTGCAAGGGGCGTGCATAAGTGCACCATCGTGCCTCCCGTCCCTGTCCTATTGTCCCCATTTATTCATACCTATTTCCTGTATTCTTACTCATGTTTATACTTATACCTATTATCTTGTAAGCGATTGACAAATCAAATAAATAAAAATAAAATAAAATCTTATCAACTGAATGGGCTTATTTCCCACCCCTCCCTGAACTTTCAGACTCCACCTGATGCGTTGCTCGCCTTTTCTCCTGGCTAAGCGGCTCTTAAGAAAACCAGCTTTTGCTAGCAGGAATAAACCGGCCCTGCTAAAGAAAATCCATGCACATTTTTTCAGAGTGTGTGTTTCTCTCTCTCTCTCTGTGTGTACACAAGATGTTAAACTGGAGATCTCCCTGGGTTGGCAGTAGCCCTGTGGTAAGTATCCCTATGGCCAAACCTAGAAATAAAGGGGCATCTTCCAAAGTGACCCCCACCCCAGCCACCCTCCAGGACCAGGTAGGGGGCTTAAGGGAGAGGGGCACCCTGGGTGGGGTCTTCCCAGTCCTTCCAATTGCGGGACTGCCTGCAATTCATGCGGGGCGACCCCTGCCCAGAGGGGCGAAGGAAAAGGGGTCTTGCCCGGCGGGGGTCTTCCTTTCCAGGGGCTCAGGGCAGGAGAACGGGGGGGGGGGCGTCGTCTGGGCGAGCAGGTGAGTCATTCTTGCAATTGCAGCGGGGGAGGTTGGAGGGGGGGAGGCTTTTAAGGACTCCCACCCTCCCAGAGATGGGCATGGAGGGGCTCGCCTGCAAAAGGGACCCTTCCCCCGGTGGGCTGCGGGGGTCTCCTCCGGGGGGAGGAGAGGGTCCCTTCCAGCCCCTCCCGGTCCCCGCACAGGTGAGGCTCCGACAGGTGAATCTCTCGGACCCGGAGAAGGACGGCGGGCGGGCAAGTCGACCCCTGGGCCTGCAGGAAAGGAAGGGGGGAATGGGAGGGGAGGAGGGCCCGGGCCGCGAGACGGACCCCCGCCCCCGGCGCTTACCTGCGGCAACAGGTACGACTTGAAGGTGGCTTTGGGGGCTCGGAGGGAGAACATGACGGAGGCGTCGGATCCCCAGGCAGGCAGGCCGGCCCTGGTCGCTCTCCCCGGCAGCGCCGGGCGGGGTCCGAGGCCCCACCTCGCTGGGCAGGGCCGCGAACGGACCCCACCCCTTCCCGCTCCGCCTCCTCCGGCCGAGGCGGCGGAGCGACTGAGCCCCGCTGGAGGGGAAGGAGCGCCTCGGGCTGGCGAAGCCACGCCTCCGACGGGGGAGGGGAGGAGTCCCCGCGAGGGCAGAGCCAACGGGGAGCGCGGAGGGGGAGGCTCCGCCTCTTTTTGTATCCTAGCAACCGCGGGGAGAGTCTCTGAGTAGACGGGGGGGGGGAGGCTGCGTGCAAGAGGCGGAGGCGGAGGAGGCGGTGTTCGCGGACGGCAGACCGAGGCGGACAAAAAGATCGAGATTTTTTTTTTTTTTTTACTTCTCCCCTCTCCATTTTTAAACACGATGCTAAATCAGGTCAAGAGTGCTGACTGGGGGATTCTGGGAGTTGAAGTCCACATACTTTAAAGAGAAACAAGGTTTCAGGATTAAAAAACAGGATTAAAGTTAAGTTTCAAAGAAAAAAGGGCTGCCAGATCTAGACTGCTAGCATTAGGGTGGCCAACAGGTGGCAGCAAAGCCATTCTTGGTGGGTGGGTGTGCAGGTGATGCCCTCTAGGGGTCCTCTGCATTTTTGCAGTCCAAATCTGGAACCCCCAAATAAAATCAGAAGCAGCTCTAAATAAATAAAGATGAGACAAAGCATGCATGCAATGCTCAGAGTTCCTCTAGCTTAAGAGCACCCAGCATCCTCTTGAATTCCCATAGGTCAAACGTGACAGTTTTGCATCTTAGATGTTCACTGTTCCAATTAAAGCAGCATGAGCCCTCAGTTCCAAAGTTGCAATTGACCCCTGGGTTAAAACAACAAAATGCCCGGTCATGTGAGGACTCAGCTGGATGGCAAGTTGGTTGGGAAATGTTCTCCTTGGGTTTGGCAGCCTTCGTCCCACGCATTCAAACCCATCCTGGATTTCCTCCAGAGAGGGTTGTTTGTGCGGTTTTAAAGGCACAGACAGACATCAAAAAATACTAGCAACTTTAGATTTCAACCTGCTTGCTTCAAGAGGAGAAACTCGTCTCGACATCTCGGGATGAGCCTAGCTAGGTTTGCAACAGAACGTACCTAGGGACAGAGCAAATGACAAAGGGAGAAAATTGCAAGCAAGAAGCCCCCTCTGAATCCCTTCCTAAAATTGGCTGGGGAATGCTGGGAGTTGTCCATCCATCTTGAAGTTTTTGAGGTTGAAAAACAACGGCCGAAGGGATAGCACTCCATCTCCGAGGGGTTGCTGGGTGGCTCTTTTGGGCTAGAAATGAGGGCATCCTGGCTGGGGAATTCTGGGTGTGGAAGTCCATCCTACTGAAAGTGGCCAAGATTGAAAAACACAAAGATATTTTTTTACTGCTTATGAACTTCTAATGAAAAGCCCTGGAGAATTCCCTTCACAAATGGACATTCCCAGAAAGTAACTCTAAACCTTTGGCCCATTCTGGGTGAAAAATTAACTTCTGCATTCCACTTAATGCAAGTCCTCTCTTACTTAAAATAAACCATTTACTTTCTTTGTAAAAAAAAAAAAAACAATATTTGGGGAAGAGAAGCATTCTCGCAGAAAGGAAAAAGGGGAAATCGGGACCTCAACTGAGGTTGCTTGTCTGCAAAATTATAGAGATTCTCGCAGGGGTTGCAAATGTCAAAGATCTCATCTTTGAAGCACAAAAGGGCTGATGGGCTCACTGCTCTAGGAACCAGCATAATAGAAATCCATTCCTCTAACCTCCCTCCTGGGCAGAGAGGCAGAGTGCCTGGAATGGATTGGGTGGGAGATGGGAAGTTAAGAGAAGGTGCCTAAAATGCGATGGATCTATGACTTCTCCAATCCGTAGCTGCAGCTCTCGTCTGGGGAAAGTAGGCCCACAGATCTAGCACTTCGGTCAGGGGTATCCAACCGTGTGAACTTTTAAGACTTGTGGCTGGGGAATTCTGGGAGTGGAAGTCCACAAAAAGTGGCCAAGGTTGGATACCCCTGACCTAGGCAAATTAAGTGGCTAGGGCTACAGCTTCACTTTTTGATGGCTCCTGCATCAATATGGACCATCGAATGCTTCCTGAGAGCAGAAATGGATCGTGTCATCCTTCTCCAATTCCCAGCCCATTCCAAATCCTCCAACACTTGTGTTTTCCACCATCAGTTCAACCCTATTTGCCAACCCCAGCTCTCCAGAGTTTCTTTCTATCCTGGCAGCAGCCCAGCTCTGATTGACTGAAATATCTGGGATTCCTTCTCAACATCCCTCCATCTACTGCCCCTTCCCTTCCATTGGTTGTCTCTGCCATTTTGGCAGAGTGGGTGGGCTTCTCTGATAGCCCACAGTTGGTCCTTTTTTTGAATAATCTCATGGTTGATGGATCTGGTTGATGAATTAGGCTCAACCCTGGAATTTCAAGCTCCCCTCATCTCTTTACATCTCGTAATGGCACCTTTTGGGTTTCTCTTCAGGCTAGGTGGAAACATGCCCTCTCTTTGCTTCGCACCCTGTGCCCAGAAGACTGCAAAGCTGCCCTTTCTTTTTCCTTTATTTTTCAACGCATCGTGAAGCAGCAACATAGGATCATGTCTACAGGAAGCTGAGCTATCAGATGCTCCTTACTGCAAAGATTTCAGGGTGATAAAAGAAAGAAGAGCTGGTTCCCCATGGCTTCAATCCTCATAGCAGGATGCCAGAAGGAGGAAAGAGAAAACAGAAAATTTTCTGCACTGATATCAAAGGAGATCATACTGGGGGAAGGGGTGGCAGACATTGAAGGTGTCTCTGTATGCAAATATTTGGGGAAGGGAAGGGAGGGAGGGACACAATTAAGCTGTCATTCCACCATTTCTGTTTATCTTTCTTTATCTGTGCTGTGTTTATCCATTCACAGGTTGCAAAAGGAGATGGAAACCCTCACTTTGGTTCCCCTGTTCAGTCCAGGATCCAGATGAAAACCTCTCCAACCGTCCAGCTGTCTAGCTTGTCCTGGAGAAGCCCCAATGAAGTGGATTCTCCTCTTCTCTTGGTCACTGGTTCTCACACCTTAGGAGGTTTTGTTCAATATGCAGTTGGAATCTGCCTCCCTCTGTCCATGATTGAGAAAAGGCTGCCCAAGAAAATGAGACAACAGATTTGGTCTTCTTGTGTGTGGCCGCCTTTCAGGCCATTGAGAAGTGTTATCCTATCAGTCTTTTCTTGTCAAGGCCAAGCAAAGCCAATCCAACCTCATCTCCTGCAGCTCATTTATTGAAAAAGGCCGTGTTTAGCATTCAGTTTCTGTGGAGGGTTTTTCTTGATTCATTTTCCGCTCCTCCGTTGGAGATCCAGAAGGTGTCATCAAACTGCTGATGCTACTGGCATGGCCTGGCCTATTTAGCCTCTCCTTAATGGACTTGGTTCTCTGAGAACGGCTGTGCAAACTCCTTGACCGCCCAGGTGGGTACCTACCAGTTCTTCCTGACTTCACCGAGGGTCTGTTGCACGATGCCCTCCTCGGAATGAGCAGTGAAGACACGGAGGAGGGACTGAGACCTTCAACTTTGCCCATCTCACGATTCTCTTCAGGGCTGGCCAACAAATACTTCTGCTCTGCTTGATTCTCCAGCTCAGGCACAATTCCTGGATATTCGGGAGGGGGCTCATCGTCCATTTTTTGCTGAAGTTCATACTTCCATTCAGCCATCCACTGCTGAACCACAGAAGGGCACACTTGGTTCATGATAGTCCTATATTCTTGGTCCACCAGTGTCCAGTTGTTAAGCCCGCCAACCAAATCTTGGCCTTGGGCAAAAATAAAACTCTTCGACTTCATTATGGCGGCGTGAGAAGTGTTGCCTGTTTCCGTCGGGTAGTATCTCCTTGCTCTAGGCTTGTCCAAGGGGTAAGAGATGGTGGCTTCCAATTTGGTCTTCCCTAGAGGTAGCTGGGCCTTCTGCAGAACTGGTTGGGTTCCAGGTTGACTGGATTGAGATATGGACTCATAACCTGGGGACTGATCCTGTGGGTCTACTGAACCGGAATATGAGCCAGGGGCCGCCTGAATGACCTCTAAGGTGTTCTTACTGGTTTCCATGGAGGTCACCTCATTTGGTCTCAAGACAGAACAGAGGCTCCCTTGACGTTCTGGGCCCAGCTGCATCTTGGAGTTGGCTTTACGCAACGCTGGAGACATCGGAGTGGGCAAGGTGTCACAGATCAGCTCGTCCGTCTGGTAGCGATAGATGCTGTAACCATCCGAACTGTTCACACTGCTTTGCCTCAAAAGATAAGCTGTGTCACATTCAGAGGAGGCCCTAGAACGTGGGAGAGTCAATTCTGAAGTGTCAATGCCGGCCAGTTTCTCCAGAGCAGCTGCCATGCGGCAAGAAGTGTCTTCCAGCTGACAAAGCCGAAGATCCACCGTCTGGAGAGAAGCCTTCATGAAATGCTCCCTTTCATTCACTTCCTCTAACCTCATCGACATGTTTTCAACCCTAGAAAAGATGGAAAGAAATGGATGGTGAAGCAAAATCGGTGAATGTTCTCCTGAAGACTAGAATAACCAGTTTGGGACAACAGAAGCGAGGGGGAAATTTCTTCGGTTCTTATCAGGGATTTAATTCGTTTAACTGATGGATTCTGAGAATGTTCTTCGTTGATCAGGGCAATATCATAAAAGAAAAACAAGAAAATAAGAGGGGACGAAATGAGGTCAATTAATTTAGTATTTTGCCTGGACAACTCAAACTTTTCAAGAGTAGTCATTTCACTTTCTAATAAAAGTTGACTTTTGAGCTGAAAGCTGGGACTATCATTTAGCTGCTTTGGGCTCAGGCCCTGAGGTGTCCGATTATCCACCGCCCAGTCATAGGTTCCAAATTAGGAAGCGGCGTTGAAATAAAGGATGGAAGTAGGGCAAAATATGAGGGCATTAAAACATAAGGAAGCATGAATCAGTCCGTTGGATTCCTTTAAGGGAGAATCTTGGATTTGCGAAAAGCAACAGTTTCCATGACTTTGAGTGGACAAGCAATATAAATAGGAAAATATATCCCTTTTTCCACTTTTAACTGGAGGACTCAGAAGTGAGCACTGGAAGATGATTCTCAGTTGGTTCCCAGTTCTGACTTGGGTGAAGTCTAGAAGCCAAAACTTTTTAACTTTCAACCACTGTACGTTAACGTGGACACAGAAATGGCATTTCCAGGGTGAAAAATACCAAAATGCTCCCAGCCAGTATTCTCTTTTGCTTCTGGGGGGGAAAAGGACGGCTTCCCATTGGGGGTACCTTTCAGAAGTAACTCGGATGCGTTCGTCATTGGAGGACTGCTCTTCATCTTCTTTTTCTCGAAAATATTCCTCCACACATTGTTCCTCGAATTCGTACAGTTTTTTCAACTCTTCATCGCTTAGAAACAGTTCTGAAACGGGCGGAAGGAAAAGAGAGTTATTGAGTCATGTTGTTTTGTTCTGGCAGGTACATCGTGGGGAGGACCTAGCAAGAGGCATGGTTTTGAAGAAGCAACAACCATCCTCTGATTTTTAAGCTGCTATTTCGTGTCAACTCTGCTCTGTTGTCATCAGGCTGAAACACAGCAAGGGAGCAGACATCTTGATTTGCTAGACATCTTGATTTAAAGCTTTGGAAGAAGTGATAGTAGAAAACATCATTAAATAGGGTTACCACTAAATCCAGCTGGCCATCTTGTAAGGACAATAATTACAACAGTTGGGCTGTCAAAATAATTACAGGAAAGCATCCTGCAATCTTGACCACATTTGCTCATAAACAATCTCATCCAATCATTAGAGACAGCCTTAATCAGGGGTCTTCAAACTTGGCAAGTTTAAGACTTGTGGACTTCAACTCCCAGAATTCCTCCTTCAGTCATTGTTAGCTTAGGAATTCTGGGAGTTGAAGTCCACAAGTCTTAAACTTTGAAGTTTGAAGACCCTAGGCCTAAATCCTTCCAACCCTCAGCAAGGTGCAGAAAAAAAATCCATGAAACCATCCATGAAATGTAGTCTTAACGGTCCCCCAAAATGGAGAACCTAGAGATCATCGTAGATGGCTTGATGGTTTTTCCTGCATATTGAAGAGAGCGTGAGGAAGGTTATGATCCCTTCCAGTTCTGTGGTTCTGGGTCACACTTGGATTGCAGTTTAGGGGTCATGAAAAAAGAATCCTTGCCAACATATCATGGGAGAAGCTTGTAGCCCAGCCTCTTCCTTGTTCTGCTGGTTTTCTGGTGGGGGGGACATATGTCAGGAAACAGACCCCCCAATGTCTATGGAGATTCTCAAGTCCTCCAGGTCATGGTTGTCCCAAAGGTGTTTTGTCCAGAGGCAACTCTGGACTTTCTGGTTTTTCTTTGAAGATGTTTTGCTTCTCATCCCAGAAGCTTCTTCAGCTCTTCAGCTTCTTTAGCTGAAGAAGCTTCTTGGATGAGAAGAGAAACGTCTTCAAAGAAAAACCAGAAAGTCCAGAGTTGCCTCTTGAAAAAGCACCTTTGGGACAGACCCCCCCAAAGATTGGAGCTTAGGTGTCTACTAGGAAAGAATGTTCTCCCCATACTCAGCCCACGATCACGTTCATCCTGGTCCCCTTCTTTGTGCTTCTTCCAGCGGCAGCAAACACGTATAATGAGGATGTACAGGTGGCTGAAGATGATCATGGGCGGTGGGAGGACGGGCCTGTCATGGAAAGTCATGATCAGCTGATACCGCTGGAATTTCCAGACTTGGTTGGAGATGGATTTCACTTCAAAGAAAGTGTTGCTGCAAGAGAGACAAGACAAGGCCACCACTTAGCCAGGTCGCTGCGGGTCTCTCTACTACAAAGCTAGGATTCATCTAGAGCAAGGGTCTCCAAACTTGGCAAGTTTAAGACTTGTGGACTCCAACTTCCAGAATTCCCTAGCCAGCATCCAGAAATCCAGTGGAAAACCCATGATAGGACAGCAATGCATGAGACCATCTCCTTTGGTTGAACGTTCGACAAGGAGTAACAATATTATCTTACACCAGAGGTCTCCAAACATGGCAAGTTTAAGAGTTGTGGACTCCAACTCCCAGAATTCTCCAGCCAGCTATGTTGAAGTCCACAAGTCTTAAAGTTGCCAAGTTTGAAGACCTTGATCTTAACTCTCACATGCTCACAAACTTTAGCTATTACGGTACGATTGGGAAATATTTTGAGTTCAAAAGCAAAAAAAAAAAAAAGGTTTTGGTGCATATGGCATTATAATGAACCTAATATCAGTTCAGAACTTAAAATGGAATAGGTATGGAACAACAACAAAAACCCAAGAATTTACCCTCAGCATTAAAAAAATAAATAAATGAGAAAGCTTTCAGAAAGCTGCAACATCTTGTTCCATTGCAAATAAAATATTGATTTAGTCTTTTGACCAGTTGGGAACATGGAACAGAGAGAGAAAAAATAATTCTCACATGTTTATTGATTTTATTTTAGTTATTAAATGTATATATTAAATGTATTTGATTTATTAAATTTGTTGAAAATTTGTTTCAATTGTGGCCGTAGTCCTCCAGCACGGCTGGCTGGGGAATCCTGGGAGTTGTAGTCTTAAAGTTGCCAAGTTTGGGGACCCCCGTCTTACACCATCATGGGCTTGTTGGGAGAGATCTTCAGATTTCTGCCTTATTCCTCTCCTTTCCAGTGTGATTTGCACAGGTAAGAATATGTCAACTGCATGACCCAATTTCTAGACAGCTGGTTTTATTTACTAGCTCTACACACAACCATCATTGTGTCAATATTTACAAACTAACGTCTCTCTCTCTCTCTCTCTCTCTCTCTCTCTCTCTCTCTCTCCCTCCCTCCCTCCCTCCCTCCCTCCCTCCCTCCCTCCCCCCCCTCTCTCCTCCTGATGCCTGAGCGAATTAGCTGCGCAACTGGCACACAATTCCTTTTTCAAACACATGCCCTTTTCAACTATTGGACACTCAGCTGTGGGGCAACAAAATAAAAAGTGGCTTGTTGTTGATTTCAAAGCACAACAACACCCACAGTGGGCACAGACACATGGATTTAGGCCTCTACATTTGTGCCCAGGGCAGAGCAAGATAAAAATGCGAGCTGGGAATCTCTTTCAGTCCTTATTTTCTGCAAAGGGTAGATGAGACAGAATGTTAGTGGGAGGTGTGTCCATCGACTGAATCTCTGTTGTGATGGGGAACAAACAGAGAATAGCTTGCACAATCTGGCAATACAGGTGGCCCTCAATGTGTGACCACAATTGAGCCCAAAATTCCTGTTGCTAAGCGGGACAGTTGTTTTGCCCCATTTTACGACCTTTCTTGCCCCATTTGTTAAGTGAATCACTGCCGTTACTAAGTTAGTAAGATGGTTGTGCTGCTTCCCCGTTGACTTTGTTTATCAGAAGGTCGCAAAAGGGGATCACGTCACCCCAGGACACTGCAACCGTCATAAGTTTGAGTCAGTGGCCAAACATCTGAATTTTGATCACGTGACCCTGGAGGATGTTGCAAAGGTCGCAAGTATGAAAAATGGTCATCAGTCATTTCAGTGCGGTTGAAACTTTGAATGGGCATTAAATGAATTGTTGTAAGTTTGAGGCCTACTTGTAGTTAACAGCTTGCTTGAGTTCCTCTGAGTGTACAAAATAAGTGGCATTGATGGGCACATCTTAGGGTTTCTGTGCATTGTCTTCTGCTGGGCTTGTTACCTTATTGTCCATCAACTCATGTGCACCAATTCTGTTTTTGGTCAAGAGTCATATGGATAGTAATAGCAATAGCGCTTAGACTTATATACTGCTTCACAATGCTTTACAGTCCTCTCTAAGCGGTTTGCAGAGTCAGCCTCTTGCCCCCAACAATCTGGGTCCTCATTTGACCCACCTCGGAAGGGTGGAAGGCTGAGTCAACCTTGAACCAGTCAGGATCGAACTCCTGGCAATGGGCAGAGCTAGCCTGCAATACTGCATTCTAGCCACTGGGAAGGAAGGAAGGACGGAAGGAAGGACGGAAGGAAGGAAGGAAGGAAGGAAGGAAGGAAGGAAGGAAGGAAGGAAGGAAGGAAGGAAGGAAGGAAGGAAGGAAGGAAAATAGCAATAGCCCTTAGACTTACATATTGCTTTCCCGCTCTACAGAGTCAGCCTTTTGCCCCCAACAATCTGGGTCCCCATTTTACTCACTTTGGAAGGACAGAAGGCTGAGTCAAGCTGGAGCCTGGTGAGATTCAATTTGCCCAATTGCGGGCAGCTAGCAGCCAGCAAAAGTAGCCTGCAGTACCGCACTCTGACCACTGTGCCACCAAGGCTCTCTGACTTGGATCCTGCCAACTGAAGACTGACATTGGAGATCTTTTTGAGCAGAAGGTAAGGGGAGGAAGATAAAATACTCACTTAAAGACAGCAATCAACAGGTTGACCAGGAGAATGTTGGCAACCAGCAGGTAGCAAGCCATGATGGCAGGAGTCAGCCAAGCACCGGGGATACAAGGGGGGAGCCGTTTGCCATCCTCATCAAAAAGGTTATCTCCACAAGGAGCTGGGAAGGAAATTGGATTAGCCTTCACAACTGTGGCACAGACACACTTCTGTAGAAGTGGGGAGGCATGATTCTGGAGGAATGCATGGAGATTCTCAATCATCCAAGCCAGGGTTGTCCCTAAAGTACTTCTTTCCAAAAGGCAACTGGACTTTCTTGGGGTTTTTTTTCCTTTGAAAACATTTCGCTTCTCATCCAAGAAGCTTCTTCAGACCTTCAGAAACTTCTTGAATGAGAAGCGAAATGTTTGCAAAGAAAGAAAAAAAAAAACAAGAAAGTCCAGGTGCCTTTTGGAAAAAGCAATTCTGTGAATGATTATGGAGGCTTCGGACCCCAACAGAAGTGACCATCGATCGTGTTTTCCTCAACTACGGTTACAGGAAAATGTCTCCCACAAATCTTTGAGGCTTCCTGGCTGTGAATTTCATAGTCTGGATGGGTGCCAACTTCATTCTCTTGAGTGAGAGAAATGCAGGTGGGTTTTTAAGGGGCAGCTAAAATGCTAGGAAGCACCTGCTCAGGCGGTTGAAAAGAGCTCGCATCTACGGTGGTGGAGAAACACGCAGTTCCCATCGTTCCCCGCCAGCCGAAGAGAACAGAAGGTGCAACAGATGGAAGAGCTAATGTCACCCACCCAAATGCAAGAATAGCATTCCGTGTAATCCGTTGCTTAGAGAGGCAGAGCAAGCTAAATTCTCACCGGCTGCTCATCTATTCCGCGTGCCCACCAAGCATTGCAAGCTGTGGATTTTTGGCAGCTGGACAAGTTTAAGATGCATGTTGAAAGCAGCTTTGGAGTTTTTTGTTTTTTTTTTGTTTTGGTGTTATACAGCTATGCTGAACTCAACCTCAAAACACCTGATGGGGCAAAGGAAGGAATCTCCTACTCGGAAAAAGAGCTTTGGATTCATTCATCAACTTACGATTGATCTCCATGGCGTAGACTAGCACAGCATTGCGAAAGCAAGGAACGAAACAAAAGAAACAGAATTAAAAAGGGAGGGAAGAAAGGAAAAGAAAGGAAAGCACGTGGCTGAGATTAGGAAACATTTCAGCTGCCAGAAAGAGATAAGGTTGTCCAATATTTTAACAGGCAAGAAAGAGACTCCAGAGCAATCACTTTGTCGTGCTCTGGAATTTCCTTTGCTCTTTGCCTTTCTCAAATATTACTCATGGCATCAGGCAGATGATCATGCAAATATATATTCTAGCAATTTCCATGAGGTAAAGGAGTATCTGGGGTCACGGTCAACACAGTCACAAAACATCATCGGGGAATCACAACACAATGGACTGCAAGGCCATCCCGGGAAGGCTGCAATCTGGAGAGGAATGTTGTGGGCGGGCAAACCAACTCTTCCCAATAAGCCGTTGTGAGGCTTCTCATCCACAGGCAAGCAAGATTTTGGTCGCACCTTGTAAAGCCACAGGGGCTTAAAAAATGCTGTTTATTTTCATTCTTGACTTTCTCGGGAAGCTGAGCTGTGATTTAGGAAAAGGGCCAGAATATTCAGTCCAGCCACTGTGTTCCGAATGCCAATAAGAGTCTTTTTAAGGTACTTGGCTCTAAAAAAAAAATGGCAATGGTGACTTTCAAATCCAGAAAAGAAGGAATAAGATATTTTGTAGGAAGCCCAAAACTTTCCTTCTTCAAAGTAGATCTTTTGTGGCATGTTTATATCACTCGGGCTTTGAACTTCAAACAATGGCTTGAAGATAACAAATTGCTGAATACACTGGAGAAAAAGTGGATGGAGGCCATTTTGTTGAAAGGAACCATTTCTTGCCTTTCAACCTGACAAAATGCAAGGGATTTCCTCAAGATAATGGGTGGGTTGGGAGAAATGACCAAGGTAAGAATGCCATCAAAGGAACAAGAGGTTCCAAACTCAAAAAGGGTCATGGATTCCTTTGAATCTGATCATCTGCCTGAAAACAGGAAACAGAATCTTACTATGAATTCTGCTCTTACGGTCTATCTGATCAGCAAAAACCTCTCCATAGATCATCCAGTAGGGCATGTAGAAGATGTTACGGGCCAATCTCCAGGTGGGTTCTTCATCGGGGTGGAGGATGGCTTGGCGAGCCACCCCGAAACTCATCAGAACCACCAACATAATGACCACAAAATACAGCATGTCAATCATCTGTCCAAGAGAAGAACTTGAGTTAAGAGCCCAGGTTGAAGTCTTAGTCCAGAATCAGTGGGAGCAAAAAAGTATTTACATCCTCCAGCTTTGGTCTCATGGAAATCTTCAAGACCAATCTAGGGAGAAGTAGACTTCACAAAGTCTCCAGGGGAGCAGGAACATCAGTTTTAGATGTTCATCTAAAGAACTTTAAGATAACCCACTAGAGGACTGTTGTCATATGGGAGAAATGATCATTTTTCTTAAGTTATAATCTTTCGATTATGACACAAAGAAGCAATTTCCTAGCACTCATGTTAGGCACAGAAGATAGTGAGATGTCTCCCTTTTGAGGTCAGTCTTGAAAGGTGGGAACACAAGAAAGTGTTAACACTGGTCTATTGGGATGGCCAAACCAGACGAGTAATGATAGGAGACAAGTTGCCCAACCAGGTGATGCTAGAGGCACCTTAAGTGATGTCTAGAGATCATAGGTGGTCCCTAGATCTTTCCACATTTCTTGGTTCTTCCTCTTTTCAGGTACCCCACAGCTTGTTTTTTCCTTCCTACCACTGTCTTCTGATGCATGGGTCCACCTGCATTTACCTACCATCTTCCCAATCATCATGACGTAGGGTCCCAGGTATTTGTTCACACCAAAGATGTCCAGGACACGGATGTACCAGAAAATGATGTCCACACAATAGATCACTCTTCCATAACTCATGTAAGGTGGGTTTTGCAAGCGAAGAATAGCTCCAATCAGAAACACAGAAATGGCCACCAAATCAGTAATGTTCCAATATTCTTGCAGCCACACTTTGATTTTCTGACTTAGTTTCCCTGGTTCTGACATCAAAATCTGAAAATAAAGCGATTCAGGTGTGGGTGGAACAGAGAAGAAAAAATTGGAGAGGGTAGGGGTGAGGAACAGGAGCAGATTTTCAGTTTTGTGCTTCCATGTAGAACGAGCAGCAAGGCTCAAGATGGAATGCTCTCAACGTCAGTCAGTTTCCTCCTTGCTCCTTCTCTCCTTCCAAAGTGTCTCCTGAACTTCCGGCCCTCATTTCCTGATGTACCAGTTCAGGATAGAAAGATGCAGAAACAGGCAGACGTTTTCTCATGCGCGAACTTCCTTCTTATTTCAGGCATCTGTCCAGGCTACAGATTTTAGGAGACCCATCACAGCGCTAACTTTACTAACTTACTAACTTACTTACCTCCCTGACTTTCTCTAAAGCCAGAGTCAAGATGTAGGAGATGACCACCCATTCTTGGACTGAGGGCCACCGTTCCATCCGAACCAGGATGATGTAATTGAACAGCATTAAGTAGCCCAGGTAGGATATCTGAGGATGAGATCATGTAACTCAGAGTCTTTGTTGGTCAGTCAGAAGACCATAAGAATGCTTTGTCCAAGAACCGCAGAATTTAGATTCAGAAGACACCCCAGAGGACATCTAGTGCAGGGGTCTCTAACCTTGGCAACTTTAGGACTTGTGGACTTCACCTTCCAGAATTCCTCAGCCAGCTTTGCTGGCTGAGGAATTCTGGGAGTTGAAGTCCACAAGTCTTAAAGTTGCTAAGGTTGGAGACCCCTGATCTAGCATAATCACATGCTCAAAACAAGTCTCCAGTAAACAGGAGCCCACCTCTCCTCTGTACTAAGATGGTTTCTTCTCCAAATTACAGCCTAAGAAGTCCATCACCAAGCAAAATATTAGATGCTGCTCAAGGATCACTAAGTCCAGCCTCGTCTGCCCCAGCAGGTTCTTCTAAGAAAGCCAATGAAGTAAATCAGGACCACCCTCAATAAAGAGAGTGGAGAACTCACATCCCAACGAGAACTTCCTTGAACCCCTCCCACGCTACACTGGCAAAAGGGATAATAACCATGCTGTTTTCAGATCAGCATGGATACATTTCTACTTACCGTGTAAAACCAGAACTTCACAATTGGTGCGTTGTAGAATTCACAGATCTTGGTTCCGATGGGAAGGCCCTTCTGCTTAGTCTTCCCACCTTCTTCATCTCCTTTTCGAGATCCAGCATCAGCATTGGCATCCTGGAAGACAAGAGACCACCAGGCAACCAGTCACCCCCCCACCCCAAATATCACCCAAATTCTCAACAAAGAGAGTGGAAACAGATCTCACTGCTTAGTGGCTTTCTTGTTTTTTCAAATACGCTTCCACTAAGCCCTAGAATGCTTCTGTTTTATACGACATAGTCCTACTTTCTTGGGTGAATTTTCACCTCTGGTTCATAGGCCGAGGACTGGAAATTCTTGCAAAACCTGTTGCTTCCAAAGTATGTAGTAATGGATGGAAGAACGAATCTATGGGTCCCTCTAAAGAAAGGAATCCAGGGAGTCCTTGACTTGGATTTACTCTGCACTAGGAAAGCGTGAGACTGACCGCATTCTCTTCCTCCTTTTCTTTCCCAACTTCTTTTTCACTGGATGTTTGATACTCGTCATTGGTCCGGAATTCCAGGAAGAGGATGGTGGGAGGGATGAGGATCCCCATGATGACCTGAGCAGGGGATAAGAGGGTGGGAAATCATGAAGTAGTCATTAATGCTCAGGAGATCCTGGAGGCTGACTTTCCCTGGCTAGATACTCTCCAACTGCATGTTCAAACAAACAAAAAACTGGAAAGGGGGCAGCTGGTGTATATATTTATGGCTAATCTCTCTGGAGGAACTCATGGGCTACATCTACCTGAAGACCTGGGTTTTTCCGCATGTGCAACCTTCCCATCCACATGTCAGTCAATAGCATCTGGCTGCAAGTGTGTGCAATGAAGTCCCGATGTTTGGCTGCTACCGCAAGTTTCAGGCAAGTAGAGTTGCTCCAGTTCTTCAACTGATAGGTCAAGAGTTTCATGGCCACCTGCTCATCATGCTTGTAGGACTGATCCAGCAGCTCCACAGCCAGCTGGCCAAAATCCCTGAAGAAACCAAGAAAGCAGGAACCAGTCAAGGAGATCTCAACCCTTATCTTGTCCAACAGCTTCTGGACCAATGTAACTCAACATTGTCAACTTGAAGATATATGGATTTCAACTCCCAGAATTCCCTAACCAGACAACCGCAATCAACCCAACCAACTAACCAACACAAATATACAATTTTTCAAAAGGGGAAGAAGGAGAAGATGGATTGTGTTGCTCCTTCTGAGAACACGGTTGATGTTGCCTACAGACCAATCCCTCATGCCCTTTGACTCACTTGGAGTTGTTGTCCAGATCTTGAGAGATATCGTCCACAAGCTCGCTCTCCAGAGACTCGTGGGCCATGGCTTTGTAGAGCTTACAAGCCACTAAAGCTTTGGCCATGGCTTCTTCTCCACGTTGCCACAGAAAGAGGGCCATTTTTTGTCTCTTCATCAACACTGCCCAAACCATGAGCTCATGGAATGGATATTGGAAGCGGCTGACTTCTGGATCATCCACATCAATGTCAATGTCCTCTTCCTTCTTCTTCTTCTTCTTTTTCTTCCCTTTGGTGGGGGGCTCATCATCCTAGGAAGAAGTAACAGAGTTGATATCATCTCTTGGCTATGTTATCTTCAGACTTCCGCCATGATCTGTAAACGATCTGGATAATGGGTTCATTCATTCATCAGATTCTTCACCTCCCTTTATTAGTTCATGCGCTAAGGAAAAAGGCCATGCAGTTTCACCAGAGATCTCCAGAACAAGACAAGAAACGCCAGCATGTTGAGTGGTTATGCTTGCAGATATTCCAAAAACCAGGGAATAGTCTTACACACGTGGCATGCAACTATTCAATGCAAATTCCCTACACATGCTGTGACCTGAAAGCAATTGAGTGCAATGCTACAACTGGGTCGGTGGCCAATACGTTGACATGTTTCTTAGCCACTTGGTACCTTCAGATGAGTTGGTTTCCTCTCCCATGAAGACTAGCCAGCATGGGTGCAATCTTGCAGGGAAATGCTGGTTGGGGAATTCTGGGAGTTGAAGTCCACCTATGTTAAAGTTGCTACGGTTGAGAAACACTGCATTAGATCAAAATAACTGGGCTGGATAGAATCCCTCACTTCTGCCTGATTTCCCGAATGGTTTGTCTTCCCTCTGCCCTTTTCAATTTTTGGCCTTCCTTGTTATTTGCAGGTTCCGTATTTGCTAAAGTTTATTTGTAACCCCCACATCAATATTTGCAATGCTTTTGCAGTTATTTGTGGACAGGAGCAGAGTGGGCATAGGGGGTTGGACTAGAAGACCTCAAAGGTCCCTTCCAGCTGTATTTTGAAATAGGTCTGCCTTCTCTCAGGGATCTTGCTGGTTAAAATGGCCATCAAAAGTAAGATCTTTTTTAAAAACAAAACCTGAATTGCTTAATCTTTATTTTTGTCCAGAGGTTCCACTCATATGCAACAAGAACTTACCTCCATGCCTAGAAGTTTAAGTGCTTTAGGCTGCATGTTGAGGGAAAAAAAGAGGAAGAAAAATGAGTTTTAAAGTAATAGTTTTCCAGTTGCAATCTAACATATTTTACGATAAAATTAAAATAAAAGGTTTTCAAGAGAAAATTGGACAATCGTTTATCCAGAATGGAATGAGGACTCCATATTCTCATTATTATATTAATGCTGAAATTAAAACACAGAGCAGAGCAGGAGAGAATGACAGGTATAACTATTCTGTGAAGCATATTTTGCAATAATAATAATAATAATAATTGGTTTTACCCGTTTAGGTCCAAAGAGATTGTTGTAGAGGGTCCGGAAACTCTTCCGTGTATAGTTGCAGCGATACGCCCCACCCATGAGATATTCTAGCACCAAACCAATGTCGATGAGGCTGATATGATAATCAGGGGGTAGATTTCCCTAGAGAATTCACCAAAATGGATTTGTTGAAGGAGCCTTTCGAGGCAAGCCAGGAAACAAGGCATCCCTGATCAGATTGCAACCTGAAAGACTCTAGGAGAGAGTTTAGCCTAGCGGGATGGATGTCCAGCCTTGGCAATTTTAAGACCCGTGGACTTCAACTCCCAGAATTCCCCTGCCAGCCAGCCACACTCTCTCAGCCCTAGGAAGAAGACAATGGCAAACTGCTTCTGAAATCTTGCCAAGAAAACCCCAGGGACTTGTCTGGGCAGTCAAGGCTGACTCGAAAAGACCCCTTCCCCAAATAAGGCCAAGAGGGAAGCAAAAACAAAGAATGGGAATAACTAATAAGCAACAATGCCGACATTTTAATTTAGGAGCAGACACCGCTCCCTGCCTCTTGCTTTGAAGGAAATTGATTTCATTCCTTTATTTATTAAATTGTCTTCTGTCCGTCCCTGGAGCTTCTGCTTCTGAGAAGGACTCAAAAGACATCAAAGATGCTTCCTCCTGACTAGACATCTGTCCACCAGCACCAAACAATCGGAAGCTTGTTGAAGGGCCAGGCATGGTAAACGAGTAGGTGGAACAGCCTTGGAGGTCATTATGCTGAAAATTATGGACACTTCAATTCAAATCTGGCCCACTTCCTGGAGCTTTGATCTCGGCACAATGCTTCGACTGTTTCAAAGGGGAGCCTTTGGGGTTTAACCGAGAGCGACGGAGGAAAACATGGAGCAACGGCTAAGAGACACGTAAAGGCAGCCGTTCGGCTTCCAACTGTCCAAATCATGCACGACCAATCCATTTTTCTGGGAACTCCAATTTTTAAGGACAGGGACAACCGAAGTGTCTTAGTTTGGTTCACTTGCTCCATTCGGTTCCTATTATACACCTTTATCATGCTTTCCCCATTTTTTTTCTCCTCGCAACAGGCACCAAAAAGCTCCAAATACAACTAGTAGGATGATGATCAGATTTGGGTTCCGAGGAGTTAAATGACCAATAGGTGGCTGTAAAACAATAGTTTTCTGCATTCTTTGCTGCCCCCTAGAGGCTCAGTTTTTCACAGCCCATAGCTGGTTGCCCTATTAAATCCTTCAGCATCCAAACGCCTGAAATATACAGTGTATATTTTCAAACTTCTAAACCAATTTTTAAACTTGCCTTTATGGGGAAAAAAACCCTCTAAGAGCAACATACACTTAGGTGTTTTCGGGAGGGAGAAACAGAAGATGTAATTATATTTTCCACCCAATGCGATGTTTCTTTTCTTGAAACTAAAGATGGAAGGAGCTAATTAATATCCTTGCAGCTTTCTCAAAATAATAATAATAATCAAGATGCCTTTGCCCAACTCCGTGCTGTTCCCATTGCACAGAAGGAATCATTGCTGATTCAGAAGAGTGGATAGATTAAATCCAAAATAACTTTTGCCAACAGGTCAAATGAAATGCAAAGGCTGGTATCTGACTCTACTAGGGATTTTTCAAAGGAATATTTTGGAGGCGAGTCCTGGCCTAGCAATCAGGTATCCTCCCATTTCACGTTCACTTTTCTTTTGATCTTGAAGTTGAAATAAATGTGAAAAACATTTTGGTGAACCCCATTTCACCCCACTGTTTTTAATTTACCTTTTTCACGTCTCTCACAATCACATGCAAATTGTTTGGTGGGCCAAGTCTCTGAAAAACAGAACAGCGTGGTTTTCCTTAACGAGGACGTTGGGCTATTGAAGGCATTTCTGTAGAGTTTATGCAAGGCATTGAGACATAAACATAGAATATCAAGGTGTTTACACAATCTGCTATGCCCAAGAAGAGAATCTCTATTTTGGCTTAACGCAAAGACCTGATGGATGCAACATGGCATGATAATGATAGGGTATCACCATACCTAAGTAATTCCCCCTTCAAGCTCTCTCCATCTTCACCTCTCAGTTCTTCTCTCCACACTCTCTTGACTTTGGAAGAATCATGAAGGATATTTCATTTCCAAGTTGACCTGCTATCTCCTGCTAGGTCTGTTCCACTGGAGCGCTACTTCTCAACCTTGGCCATTTTAAGATGTGTGGACTTCAACTCCCAGAATTCCCCAGCCAGCCCTGTTGAAGTCCACGTGTCTTAAAGTTGTCATGGTTGAGAAGCACTGCTTTGGAAGGTTAAAAACCCTCAGCCTGTTTCAGAAGGAAGACTGACACGATCCGTTCTACCGATTCTAAAAGCAGCAGATGATTCCAAGACTTAGAAAAAAGCAGCCCATGGTCCTTCACAACCCTCCGGGAGGCTTGCTTGGTTGTGCTACTCCAAACCCCGCCTGATGGGACATGTTCATTAGCCAACCAAGGTGATTTTAAAGCAAGGTTTTAAAAAAAAAACTTGCGAGTGTCACTCACAGTGTTGTAAAGCTCTTCCAGCCGTGGGATGGTGAGGAATCTCTGCATGTTAACCCCATTCTCAATCAAAAGCTTCACAAAGTCCACTCGGTCCAAGACAAGGGCATCCAACATTGATTGCTCCAGGGCGTTTACCTACCAAAAAAGCCAATACACAGTATGTGTTGAGGGACCATGGTCCATAAATGCAAAAAACTACTGGAGCTGGTGGAAAATATGGAGGTGACCTTGGCAAAACTGGGTTAGTACTGAGATTCGGTTTCTATTTTATGGCTTAGAGTTGTGTGAGAGCCTCACCTAACTGGGGTTAATCCATCCTAATTTTTTTCCAGGTATGAGAGAATCTTCAGAGTTGGTGCCCAGAAAGAAACCTCTTAGGACACTTGGGCATTATTTTGCACCATGAGAAATTGTGTAGAATGAAGCCAATAAATACAAGATATAACAAGTGGAGGATCACTCAAGAGAGATCCAACCTAGAATTAAGGAGAAATTTCCTGAGGTGAAAATGATTAATCAATGGAAGAGCTTGCTTCCCGGTGCTGTGGGTGCACCATCCCTGGAGGTATTCAAGAAGAGACTGGGCAGCCATTTTGTCCAGGATGGTATGCAGGACCTTGTGTTTGTATGAATAGGGGTTAGATTGGAAGATCTCCATGGTCTCTTCCAACCCTATTACTCTATGTTCTACATTAAGCCAAAGATCACAAGGACTAGCAAACAACTAAAGCACCTGGGAAGCACCTGGTTCAGAGGAGTTTCAATGCTACATGAAGAGGAAAGGGTTCAAGCCTAATGAAAACGCTCCTCCCCGCCTTGGCCATGCTTGGAAGGAAACACCAAGCCCTTGCCAACCTCACCCAGTTCAAGAGTTCAAGTTTCCTTGGATCCAGCTCTTCTTCCGGTTCCTCTTTCTGCTTTCCACCTTTCTTTTTCCCTTTCCCTTTCCCTCTTCCTCCTTTCGCTTGAGGGGCCGGAGATTTCTTCTCCTTTTCTTGAAGTGCCCCATCGGCCGGGGCCAGACGTCCCAGGGGCTAGAGAGGAAAGAAGATGGACACATAGTTGAATGGGGGTAAAAACAAGGGACTCCTTTCTCTTCAATCCCCAGGAGAGATGATCTGCAGGTCTCCAGTAAGTGCAAAAGGACACTGCATGTCCTCCTTTCCCTTCTCATGCAAATTTGGCTGGTGGAATTGCAGGGAGAACTGGTTGGACAACCCATATATGACAAAGGAGAGAGGCTGAAAAGTAAACACACATTACACAAGGCCAGCTACAATACAAGGCCTTTTTTTTACTGCTGCATTGTGTAGACTTCTGGCAGCATGGATTGGAGATGGTGAATGCCAAGAACAAATCCCCCAGAGATCTGGTTATGGAGAAGACGGTTAAGATAACTAGCCTAAGAATTCCAGCAACGATTCTCCTTTCAAAATAAATACAGGCAAAACTCTGGTTCTTTTTTTTTTAAATACCAAGAGGAGGAAGTTTGACTCTAAGATATCTTTACCGGCCACTGGTGCCCAAAGACAAAGATCTGGCTGCGGGCGATATCGACTCGGTTCCAAGCCAAAGCTAAGCTCAGCTGATCGGGTGCAGAGACGTTGGTACCTAAGGAAACAAACAAGCTCAGGCCAACATTTTTGTACCAATACAAGAAAGGACTTATGGCTACAATGCCCAACCTTTCTTTTGTTGTGGGTTAAGTCACCCTAAAATGAAAAACAAGGATGTATTATTTTTTTCTCAATATCTCTATTCTTTATGTCAACTCCACCAAGTTGAGTAATTAGAACTTCAAAGATTTCAGTAAAGTATCTTGAGGGATAGTTTCGTGGTCCATACAGAAATATCTACAGAAATTCCATACAAGAGGACTATTCCAGCCTTGGTTATTATTGAGTTCATGAAGGCAGAATCTCTTCGAAGGATCTGAAAGGCTTCTCTTCAAGGTTCTTCTCTCTTGGGCTGAGTTGCCCTTGAGGAGAGAAGCTGCCAATGGACTTGCCTTCCCTCTCTTGGTTGTTCTGGTCTCCCCTGCCTTCCATTCCTTTCTCAGCCTCTCCACATCTTCTCATTCCCTGCACGGTAAGCTCACCTTTAAGTAAAGCCGTTAGGATGGACATCTCAATATCTTGCTGTCCTTCAGATCCCATCCGGAACACTGTGATCTAAAGACCAACAAAGACCAGCAAATAAGGACAAGCAGAAGAATCTTTCCATGTTTCTCTTTTGCGCACTGAAGATTCGGTGGTCGCTGGGTGTCTAAAACAACTTGATGGTACATAATCAGTCACCCAATTGCTACAAAAATTATGGCCAATCTATTGCAGGATGAATGACTCTGCACCGATAAAATGTTTACATCACAATTTAAAATTCTTTAGAGAAAGAGATATTTAAAGTCAAATATGTCCACTTCTAAAAGAAAGGCAGATTGCTAACACATTTTAATCACCAGCCGTTAGACTAGCTGCAACATGGCTTTGCTTTCTAGCCTGCATATGGATTTTCCTCCCCAATTCTGTCCAACCAGAGGAACAGGCGGAAAGATTTGATTCTTAAACACTTTCCTTTTCTTTAATACGGAAACAACGATAAAGCATGCAGCATAGTTTAGAAGCCTTAAGGAGTCTTGCTGGATTGGCTGGAAGAGGAAGAAGGAATGAGCCACAGAGATGTCCTCTCTGCGCCCATTTATCTTCAGGAAGAAGATGGAGATTAAGAGTTAATCGGATCAAACTGATTCTCGTAACCTCCTAACTGCTATTATCATGAGGAGAAATTGTGGAGGGGGAAAAGACATTCACTGATGGAGGCTTTTAAGAAGCACAAGCTGATTATACCATCAGAAGGGATTCCCTAAAAAAAAATCAGATGTCCAGTGGTGAGACTGTTTGATATCTATGGTTGTTGCTCTCACTCTTTGCTCAGGGCAATTAATCTGCGCTGATTAATCACAAGGTAGCACTGATTGGAGGGTTTTCCCTTGGCAGTCAGGAACCACCAAGAACACGCCACCCAACACTGATAAGGCAGTAAAACAGAGGGAAGAGCAGACCAAATAATATTACTCATAAATGCTCCCATAAATGCTCCTGCAGTAAGAGCCTTATAAGAGTGGGCCTAGAGGTGGAGCTCTCGCCTCACCATCAGGAGGCTGTGAGTTCTATCCTAGGTAGAGGCAGATATTTCTCTCTCTGGGCACGATGAGAAATATATATGCTGAACAAAACTCTGCATTGGTGACAGGAAAGGCATCCGGTCAGTAAACACTCAGCTCCATTCAGTTGGCCAGACTCCACCTCTACCAAGGGATTATGCAGGAAGAAGAGGAAGAAGAAGAAGAAGAGGAAGAGGAAGAAGAGCCTTACAAGTTCTTTCTTCTTCATACATTCCATGAGGATCACAAAGAGCTGGTGGGCTTGATTCCGACTGTAGTTGAACGTTTTCTGAATGGTCACCAGCAGTTGGTCCCGAAGAGATTCATTTATTATGCTAAAATTGAGGGAGAGAAAGCAGGGGGGGGAAAGGATGTTAGGCTTCATAAATCAAGAAGGTGACATTAGATATTATGCATTATATATTATTCTATCAATAGAAGAGAATATTTATAGCTCTGGATTGAATTGTGGGGTCCTCGGTGCTTTCTGTGCTTGGGGGTTTTCTTGCATCAATTGGTGACCCAACTAAGGAATGTCCCCAGTAGTATCATCATCTTCATTAACATTGATGACGTTCCCTAGCTGGGTCATGAAATGTCTGCAGGAAAGCTACCAAGTTCAGAGAGCATTAAGGACCCCACGTTATTCTATTCTTTATCCAGAATTATAGCAAACAGCATGTGGTGGACCCTCCCAGGGGCAACTCGTTGACCTTGGTGGGAAATGGATAAAAATAAACATCTTTGAAAAAGGAAGGACCCCCCCTCCCCAAATAAAAGGGCAAAAGGCAAATAGCTGTGCCCCCAGGCCCCCGTAGCTCACCCGCCTTCTTCTGAATACTTGTGTGCAAATGATATGATGTCTGATGCTCTTCCACTGCCGTCACAGATGACCACGGGAAGTGGGGGCTCTTCACACAGGTATTCCAAGACAATGGAGATCACGTTGGGGCCACCTTCAACTATCAACCCTACCACAGGGACTCCTTGACCCAGGCCTGCAGAATGAATCAGGCACACCATCAGAAGTCAACGAAAGGTTTTCAAGCTAGGCAGACTTCTCCACCGTCGCATCGTTTTACTGGAATCCGTATTGCACATAATTCTGGGTGCAGAATAAGAATAACAATGTTGGAAGGGACCTTGGAGGTCTTCTAGTCCATCCCCCTCCTCAAGCAGGAGACAAGTGGCAGTCCAATCACTTGTTTAAAAAGCTCCAGTGTTAAAGCACCCACAACGTCTGGAGGGAAGCCATTCAACTCGTTGATAGTTCTCGGCATCAGGAAATTTCTCCTTCGTTCTAGGTTGCTTCTCTCCTTGGTGAGCCTCCATCCATTGCTCTTTGTCCTGCCTTCTGGGGCTTCGGAGGATAGCTTGACTCCCTCTTCTTTGGGGCAGCCCCTCAAATATTGGAAGACTGCTATCCTGTCACCCCCGGTCCTTCTTTTCATTAAACTAAAAACACACACACATCCTGCAGCTGCATGCCCTTGGACTACACTTGCCATCAACTTTACTCAGCTATGACAGTGGCTTCTGGTTTTGAGTTCCAAGGGCCGTCCTAGGAGCCAAGCCAAACTCTTTAGAGCTAGGTTGCACACCATAACTGGTTGATGTTAGAAACAACAGCTGAGCAGCCCTTTGTGACCCCTGCCTCACTCTGAGCTCCAGGCATAGGATAACAAAGGGAACCCCGCAGGTCATGAGGTCAGTACAGGCTTGATCAGCAATCAGGAAGTTCCTGGATTCAAGGGAAAATGAGCATAGCAATAGCAACAGCACTTAGACTTAGAGGCTGCTTCATAGTGCTTTACAGTCCTCTCTAAGTGGTTTACAGAGTCAGCCTGTGGCCCCAACAATCTGGGTCCACATTTGACCGACCAAGGAAGGAAGGAAAGGAAGGAAGGAAGGAAGGAAGGAAGGAAGGAAGGAAGGAAGGAAG